GTCTGGTAAGGTTCAGAGTAGTGAACGGTAGACCGGACGATGAGTGACTGTGAGGAGCCTCTTCTTGAATATGGCTAGATTGGAGACAGGTGCAGGTAAACAGAATACAGGTGAGTGTGATCTGGTGTGAGTGGTGATCGTAACTGAAAACAGGTGTAAGCCGGGGAGGATTCTGGGACATGGAGTCCAGAGCTGGTGACTGGTGACAGAGACTCCCTGACACTGATAAACAAATCCACTTGGTAACTAAACACACACAGACATCTAACAATAACACATGCGTTGAACCATTGCTGTCTCTTGCTCTTCTTCATCTGAAAGGCAGTGTATACAGGCTTTACATATTTACTATATGTTAGGGTGACATTTTTTTGTTAAACTGATGAGAGTAATTTTTGTTAAAAATGTGTTGAAATTGTTGAAAGTGAAATTATGGTCAAATTTATGCTGCAATTACTGCCTTTGTTTTATACTAGCAGAAGCTTGAAGATAATGTATATTTACATTCGTTCATTTAGCAGGTGCTTGTCCAAAGTGGCTATACAGGTGAAATTATAAAATAAGTTCAATTGAAATTAATATTTAATGGTGAGTAGCTATTTAACAAGTGGTATAATCACTACAGTTAGCCGGTCATGATTGCAAAATAAACTCCTTCAGGGTGATATAAGACCCCTCTATTACAGGGCCTAATCATCATGCCAGGGTTTATTTTGCATTAATGACCGGCTGACTGTACTTTATCTCTTCTTAACACTCACTTGCTTGCTTAACCACTTAAAATGACTGGTGATACTGAAACAGGATGATGATATGACAGCTCATGTGGACACAATAAAGGTTATCGGGAAGCTTCTAATAGCACTCACCCTCTTCATTTAATCTCTTGTACAGTGACCTCATCACTTTTGCGCTGCCAAAACGCTTGAAGCGAGAGTGTACATTGTCATGGTACCACCCCAAGGTTCCAATTTTCAGGACCCTGCATTTACAAACAGGTGTAATGTAAAGACTTCATATTAGGGATTAATTATATACATTACTTCATAGTTTACCTAAGTGTATAAACTGTAAATTTTTTTCCAAATGTAATCCAATGTCGGAACCTTTTCTAACCTGGACATGCGGCAGGGGTCGCATACCCAGCCATGCTCCTTCTTGTTGTAGCGGCTACAGGTCTTGCAGGTGTAGAGTTTACAGTCCATACACTGCCGTTTGCTGTTCACCAGGAACTTAAATGGCTGCAGGCAGCGGATACAGTGAGAGTCAGTCAGGTTTGACTGAGAGCCCAGGAGTTCCTTCTTTGTTTCTTCCTTCTCGATCTTGGATTTAATCTCACTGTGGTGTAATACAAACAAACAGACAAACAAATTACATACATGATTATGTCACTGAAATAAGCTTTGTGGTTACTTTCTGAAGGCAGGTTGCTTAGGTTGCTTTCTGAAGGCAGGTTTGGCTTAGGCCTAAACTAAAACCAATTTATAATATAATTGAATATTAATAAAGCCGTCTGTCCACTGATCCTATTCCCTATTACAAATGCACAATATATATGTACCACATTTTGTCAGCCAATATTAGAGATGTTTTCATTTATCTGTACGGAAGAATATATTATTTACAGTGGATATTGCTTCTGTTTTAACATTTAAATTACCTTTGCCTTCATTTGTTTTCACTTAGGTTAATCTTTAATAACACTAATAATTTACAAACCATGTTAAATATCACACACACTCCCATTGAAACACATTATAGCATGTATGATGTTTTTGCTGGGAAATTGTCATTTTGAAAAAAACATTTTGACAACACAGTTACATTTGAGTGATGGGGTGGAGACAATGAGTTTATATCATATTTATATTTTTAAATGTATCTTTTATATTTATTACATATTTAAGAAACTGTATGAATATGCATGTGTTTGGATTAAAATTCAGAATCAATTTCCCCTTTTTTTTTTTTACAAAATATAGTTTTTTTTTATGTTTTGATATATATCTGAAAGCCTTGAGATATATCTGAAAGCTTAATGAAGCCTCAAGTTGGTGTAGTTTTAAAGATTTCACTTGTTTGGCTTATCTCCATTGGATTCTATAGGCCCCTCTAGTGGCGGTAATCATAAAATGCAATTTTATGTAATTTTTCCCCACCAGATGGCATCAGAGACACTCAGTGACCTAGGTCCTGATGGCTCATCATGTTTCAAGTATAAATATGCAGAAATTGTCTTTCTTTGTTTTGTTTTGTTTTGTTTTGTTTTTTTTTGGTGAAAAAAATATATTAAAATATGCTGATTTTCATCAAAAAAATATCCAGAATTTAATGTGAATAAAATAAAAATCACCAAAAAAATTATTTCAAAAAACCTACTTAAAAAATTAGAAAAAAAATTTATAAAAATGGACCAATATAAGCTTTCTGGACCAAAAATAAAATTAGTGTCATTTTTGGCCTTCGGGTCATTTTGACCCGTGAGGGACACTTTTGTTATAGGTTCGGGAGGGACGGATGAGGGTTTTAATGTCAGTCAACATTGTGAATGCAATGCTTTCAAAACCTCAGTAAGTCACACAAAGCTAATTTACCAGTATATTCACCATAATACATAAAATTCGCATTACAACACATAATTGGTGCTGTAAAAGACTATGATCAAGAATTCAACTTGAATTCAAGTCATATATAACTGTCCTTGCCAACAAATAGAAAAGAACATCTTCCAAATAACAATTCAGTAGCCACACAGAGACCTCCTTGTGCAAAAAGAATAGAGCTCTGGGGCATCATGTTTTCCCAGCCAGTGGAATGGTGTGATCAGGCCTTGTGACTGTACCATGATCATCATGATGTCTTTACAACAGCAGTCTTTCACACTTTGTGCCCTTTCTCATAACCTTGTTCCGCTAGCATTACTATAGACAGAGTATGATATATAGATAAATATAGAAGAAATTATGCAATTGTACCTCACAGTTCACTAAACCATCTATGTCTTTTGGAGTCAGTGCTGGCTGGCTCCAATGACATATGTTAACCAATTAACCAGTGTTAAATCATGTCAGATTTGTCTCTATGGTAATATAGATTAATCATGTAAATTAAAGTCCTTACCCAAGCCTCTCCTCTTCCTTCTTCCTGAGGTCAAAATCTCTTTGAATGACCTCCCACACATGTTTGGCCTCCTCTTCTGTTAGTCTGGACAGGTCCAACTTCTTGTCCATATTCGGAGCTTAGTTGATCTTTTTTAAACAAAATTAACAGTAAACATGACATATATAAGAAGTCTATGGATAATGCGAATCTTATCGTTCCACCTCTCTACCTTACAGAGATAACAGGTTTCCATTATGAGCTACCAGAATATGCAACATGATCACATACAGTATGAAGCACTGCAGTCATAATCATGATCAAAAGTTCATTCATTGGGTATGACTGTTTTCAGTCCAGTCTCAGCAGCTCCTTTAAATAAAGATACATTTAAATACTCTCAACATGTCAACAAAATAGTTTTATTCTGTAAACTCCTCTATCAGTAATTCAAATGAAGTTTTTGAAAGAAGCATTAACGTATTAAAATAAATTAGAACACAATAACTGCAATATCATTCATAAATAAATAAATAACATGCTGAATGATTTTCTTTAAATATCAATGACACCACTGCTGTGTGTAAATGTGGTACTGGTGTCATTCTAATAGTGCATTGATTATCATGGCTCCTCACAGATACAACATTCATGATGTGATCATGTAATAATTTCAGCCAGAGTGCTATGAGTAAATGAACCCAGGAAATTAATCAAGTCTGACAGATATCTGCTGCGATCATTAGAAAATCGTAGTGTGACAGCATAAATGCACTCTTCACATTCATAACTTTAATGGCAGTAAGAACAATTGATTTAATATCACTGAAATGATTTACCTATTAAAACATTAAAAGGCAGACTTTACGCTTACAGAAAAAGTTTCTTAAATGATAATGAAGATTTTGTTTACCTTGCTTGCAGACAAGTAGCTGCTCTTGCCAAGTGTCTCGGGATGAGGCAGATAATGTGAGGATAGTCAGAGGTATGGCAATCATAATCACATGTCTAGTTTTTCAAATGAATTGGAAAAAGCTCCACCCTTTCCTTGCTTGAAATAAACAGAATAATGAATGCATTAAGATAATAACTGTTATCTGAAGAGAGATTATTAATTTTTGTATCTTTTTCTTTGCTTTTGTCTTATTGATTCTATTTTCTTATTCATTTTATTGTACAATAAACAGTTGGTTGAGCGTTAGCCTATTTCATGTTACTTCTGTTTAATGTTAATATACCGTAGTTTATCTTTATTTCGGTTTTTAATCTATGTTTTTATGTTTTATACAACAGATAGTCCAACAGCACTGGGACTATTACTGTTTCTGTCTGTATAGTAGGATTTTTTTTTTTCATTGTCAGTAGGTATTCATATTAGAGGAGATTGAGGTATGACATAATATTCTTCTATAAGTTGTATTGTAAGTAAACCTCATTGGTTTATGCAGATCAAGCCAGCACCTTTGATCTTCTGTTTACTATATTTGATTTGCTCTATGCATGTGCATCGATTAGCGGATATATGGGAATAAAAGCCTAAATTAAATCTGTTCATTACATTAAGTGATCGTGTCTCTTCAGACGACTTTAAACTGCTTGATTTATATGGATTTCTTTTATGATCTTTTTATGAACTTTGTGAAGCATCAAAGAATTGATGTAATGGACTTTCAATTGGAGGAACAAAACTCTCAGGTTTCATTAAAAATATCTTAATTTGTGTTTTTTAAAGATTAACTACAGTAAATGGTTTCAAAACAACATGAGGGTGAGTAAATGATAACATTTTTGTGTTTTAGTTTTACATTTATGTGACTTTCGTAAGTAATGTTGGTGCACCCTACAGTGGTGCCTATGAGGCATATGGCAAGATGACAGAGTGAATGTTTCTATTTACTGTATGCCCATGTACAGGCAATGTCTGTGGTGGCTAAAAATGAATGTGGGATAGTTTTACACATCATAGCGCAGTCTTAGATGTGCACCCTGTAATACCAAATACCAAAACAATATTTTGTTTTCAAAATGACACAGCAGTTACTATCCTTGCATTAAGTAGATAAACAAAATGCAAGAGTCTCTGCATTAGTGGTTATCAGAAAAGCCCCTCTCCAGAGCTGTGGTTCAGGCAAAAATAAATAAGTAAAAAATACTGTTTTATTCACGTTGTAGGTTAAAAGGTTGAATGAGAGGGTGCCCTTTAGTGCAAGGGGCTAGACTATGGGAAAGCTGATTCATTACTCTAAAATTAGCCCCCATGTACTGCTCTGGCCTTAGGTGCTGGCTAGGGGAAGTCCTGCTTTCATCTAGGGAAGCAATGCTGAGCTTTCAGTGACTTTTCTGGTGTACCAAATTGATCTTTGCACATACTAGTTGAGTGTGTTGAGCTGCAAAGTAGGAGTTTCTTAAAAGTAAATGTGGTTAAATAGAGAAGAATGAAACCGACAAATTAAGGTTAAAGCTGTAACCAGAGCCAGAAATGAAAACGCCCAGTGTGGGCAAAATTATTTCATGCTGTAATCAAAGCAGGCTATTATTTAAACAATATTATTTTGAGTCTGAAGTTAATTTCCTTGTGGAAAATAAGATATCTCTATTAGGAGTGAAAAAATATACAATATCATGTTACAATTTATTGCAATACAAAAATGTAACAACATGTATTGTGGAGAGTGACAATTTGTATTGTGTATAGTTCACCCAAAACGAAAGTTTAAAATATAAATTTAGCATCAAATATGGTAAACCCAAATTGGCATACATTTGAGCTTCCATGTTAATTATTATTAATAAATTAAAAATAAAATACATTATTTAATAAAATACAATATCTAAAACTTTTTAAATGTGTGTAATCAGGGACAGAGTGCAAGCATTTGTGTCTAACATGATACTGTACTTATTAGCTAAGAGAATTATGAATATTTCTATTTTGGTGGCACCGTACATGGGCAAGAAGGACATAATCTAAACCTACTCAGGTCCACTCCAATACCAAATTTAGAATTTTGTTGAACAGCACTTGTTGTTGACTGATTATCATATGTCTTAGAAGAATGAAACAAATAATAACTCTAAATAATGTTCTTTTTAGCAGCATCATATGACCCCTTTAACTCTATTTTGGCTTTGTTTAAAATATCATGAGATCAGTATCGAACTGATTCGTTGTTACACTTCTAATATCTGTATTATGTTTTTGTACTTAAAATGATGATTAGTAATGTACACGTTGTGAACATTAAACATGAATGTTTATGGAAAATCTTGGACGAACACCTTTAAAGTAATTTGTTTCTAGATTGAGTTTTGTTATAAAATAAGAGTTGAGTTTTGACCTGCACATGCACACACTTCATCTCGTGCCAGAATGGCCTCCAGTGTGTTAGAAACATGAAAGCTGAGCCTCAAACTAAACAGATAAATATACATGACAGACATGCACAATACTATTCACGGCTACTCAGGCCAACATACTTGGAAAGTTTTAAATCAAGAGGTCAACCCTGCAAACAGCTGTTATTTTGTATTGTTTAAAACCACCTTTTTTTCTCTCTTAAACAGACACAGAATTGTTATTGTCCTTTAAGTTTGTTGTTTCTAAATGTCTCTACAAAAAAAGTACACTGCAGCAGTTAAATGTAAAGATTTGTGTCTAAATTTGTTATTGAATGTGTTATAGCCTAGTCCACGCTGAGCAGTGGTGGATAAAGTGCTTGAAAGCCACACTTAAGTAAAAGTATAAATATCTTACCAGAAAATGACTTTGGTAGAATTTAAAGTCACCGTTTAGAATATTACTTGAGTAAAAGTTCTAAAGTATTTGATAATTATTGTACTTAAGTATGAAAAGTGATTTATATATATATATATAAGTAGCCTGTTGAAAGTAAAAGTACAAGTAAATTCAAAATAGAAAAGGAGCAAATAAATATAAAAAAAATTGTCTATACACAGTTTGAGCTGCAAGATTGTGTTCAGTTTTAACTCTTTCTTCCATTTTGTATCTTTGGGTTAGCAAGAGCCACTTGGAATCTGCATCTGACAACCTGAAGTGGCATTTAGATTAATTTACACATACGGTTTAATGCAGCTCATAGGGGACATGGATGCATTTAACCAGCAGTTACAAATGCATAAATAATGATTTGTTTTAAACATAAAACGTTGAATGTTGGTATTTGAAAAGATACTTGAAATGTGAAATTAAAGCCGCCAGTAGGTGGCAGCAAGTCACTGTTAATGAGCGAGTCATTGAGATTAAAGTCGGCATGAAACGGAAGTTGCAATTGTCTTTTCTTCTCTACTGTGACGTATATCCGAGTGAAACGGCATCTGAAATGAGAGGGCGGGACTTGATTTTGTCCTTTGGGAATTGATTGGATCATTGGAAGCTGGGGCGTTGCTAACAAAATGGAGGCAGATCTGAATGCCAGTTTGCAGTTAGTGGTGGGGGATTTCTCTCCACTGGATTCACAGCCGACACCCAAGCATGAATAAATGTTTTATTTATTAAGGATGACGACGATCAACAGCACAAAACATGCCTAAACAGCGCACGCGAGGGAGAGAGAGAGAGAGAGAGAGAGAGAGAGAGACTGCCTGAATGACTGAGTGCGTCCTCCATCAGGTTAAGTCATATTCATGAAAAAAATTAGTTTGCGCTGTCCTAAGAGTAATGTTATCGTAATATCCTAATATCTTTTCAATGTTTAGGGGTAACGTACTCCCTCATGACTGGTGTCAGTGCTATAAAGTGAAGCATCAGCTTCAGCTTTTCCCCCTGTCGTTTATCCCAGCGTTTACCCCTCACATGCCGTAGCTTGTGACTGGAAGAGAAGATGAGTCGTTTTGAGGGGGAGGGGAGGTTAACGTTTTTGATTAAAGATTATGAGGGCACATGAATTAAAAAAAAATAATGAAGTGCACGGATAAATTATTTATAATAAACACTACAGTATTCCATTAAAAAATAAGAATTTTCAATTTTGATTTCATGGTGACTTTAAATCGATTCATTCAAAAGGTTGATTCATTCAGGAATTAAACATTTGACTGTTTTAATGAGCGAGTCACTGAATCATTCGTTGAAAAAAACTGATTCATTCAATAAGGAAACACCGTTCTGTGTTGCTCAGCGGCGCAAAACAGCGCTCTTTGGAACTATTTTCATTGAGGAAATACAGCAAAAACTTAATACTAACTTTGTTAAACTTGTATCAAATCAATATTACATTTGTTATCATGCTGATATCTGGAGAAAATGACACTCTTATAGAGTAACTATATTAAATGATATAAATATAAAAGACATACAGAGTAATTTTGCCTCTTATCTTGAATGGGCATTCAGAATGCTTTTTAATAGACTAAATCTCTGGGTGTTTTTTTGTTTTGTTTGTTTGTTTACTCATAATGTCAGATCACACATCTTTAAAACAGCACTTATGATATTAGCGCAGACGATATATCACAGCTTTGACTAAAATGAAACTTGTTTGCACATGCGCAAAGGTTTTTTTTAGGAGTCAACTTGCAAGCGCCAGAACGCTAATTCTCAAACCTGCTTTAGTTTGCAAGTACAAACCTTGCGGTCTGTTTTCTTCCGATTTTATTTTGTAAGTAACGAAAATGCTTCGGGGAAATGTATCGGAGTAAAAGTATACATTTTATTAAGGACATATAGTGAGGTAAAAGTGAAAGTTGACAGAAATATTAAAACTTACTGTAACGAAGTATTATTACTAAGTTACATTACACCACTGATGCTGAGTAAGTCAATGGGGATGCCCAGTCTTCATATTGCATGTTGGATCTTGCCCACAGGGCACTGGGTTCATAGGCAGGTATGGGAAGAAAACTGACTAGTAAACTAAAAGCCAAAAAAGGGTTTATACACATTATTTTGACTGGTTATGCAAAACAATTATTTAAAACATTTATTACAAATATTTTTTAATAAATATTCTGAATT